CTCAAAATTGTGACAATCAAAAATATCTACAGATACAGCCAAATATGCCTTGGGGGGCAAAATTGTGTCCCCCTCTGAGAAACATTGTTCTGGACTCTGCATTCCTTCAATCTAATCTAGAAACTCAATCTACCTGTTACGGCTTTTTTGACCTTTTCATAGCTATGGTTATGAATAAGCTATTCATATGTAATACCAAGTAGTTCCATATCATATTAGACATGTAGATAAATAAAAATGAGAATGGTAATCATAATAAAAATAATGGGAGAAATGAAGAAGTATGATATAATCCTAAAATTTAGAAATGTAGTGAGATTAATCCTTATGTGAAACAGATACAAGGAAATTAAGACTTCAAACAGGAATTATATGATTGGAAAGGGAATCTATAAGGATTTTTGTACCTGGGTGCTCTTCAAGGTATTACTGTTTGGAACAGTGAAAGNTTAATCCTTATGTGAAACAGATACAAGGAAATTAAGACTTCAAACAGGAATTATATGATTGGAAAGGGAATCTATAAGGATTTTTGTACCTGGGTGCTCTTCAAGATATTACTGTCTGGAACAGTGAAAGTGGAAACAGACTATATGTTAGACAAAGAAGAAAAATAAGTTATGGTATATTGATCTCACAGAATATTAGTCATAAAAATTACATATTTTTAAAACATCAGTGACATGGGGAAATGCTCATAATATAATGCTGTGAAAAAAGGTAAGACATTATGTATGCTGTATGGATACCAAGTTTTCAAAGAAAATATATGCATGGTAAAAAGACTGTAAAAAGATTCACAGTGGTTATGAAATTACGATGGAATTATGCATGATTTTAATAGTCTTCTTTATACTTTTTCTATGTTTCCAAAATTTTCTTAATGAACTTACTGTTTTTCTAAGTTTTTTGTGCATGGGAGGTGCTGGGGGGAAGTGACTCGCATTCACTTAGGCGTGAGCACTGACAAGGGTTCTCTTGGGTGTGCAAAACAGTGTGTTAGTAAGGGGGGATGCTCAGAGAGGGCGTATGAGAAAGATGACGATAGTTTTAGACGGGTTAGTCAATCCTCTTGAGGAAAAAAATCTGTGCATTGTTGCTCATAGAATAGGAACAGTTTACTGTTCCAGCCAAATGCTGTCCCTCCAAGTCAGTGGTCCTCAGATTTTAGAATGCTGAAGAATCACATTGGGCTTACCTATTAAACACAGACTCCTTGGCCTTCAGCTCCCAAGAGTTTCATCCTGCACGTCTAATGCAGGATTCAGGAATCTTTATTTTTATTTTAATTTTTTTTATTATTATTTTTTAATTTTTAAAAAATATATATTTTTATTGATTTCAGAGAGAGGAAAGGAGAGAGAGAGAGAGACAGACAGAAACATCAATGATGAAAGAGTCATTGGGGATTGAGCCCGCAACCTGGGCTGGGACTCGAACCCCGATCGCCTGAATCCTAGGTTGATGCTCAACTGCTGAGCACTGCCCGGCAGGGCTGGAATCTTTATTTTTAATAAGCATCCCAGGAGAGTCATTCTGATGCAGGTGGTCCTTGAACCACACTTTGAGAAACACAGCCAGAGGAAGTCATGTGATTTGATTTGCATGAGTATTTTTTTGCCTCTATTTTTGATAATTTCTTCCAGTTATGCACTAAATACAGTTGGTACAGACCCGCGGTGGTGTGTGGCAAACTGGCTCCTTGAAAAACCAAACCCAATTTACTATGCTTGCCAGTTTCTGTGGTGTGGTAAATACTCTCATCATAACCAATTTCAAGCTACCAATGCTTTATCAACTAGCTCACCGAATTCTTGAAAGCTTAATAATTGTCTCTCACAAACTGGCACAAGCTGGCTTCTGCACTGTATGGTATATACCTTATGTAAGTCCTTTAAATCCTTTGTAAAAGGGTTATATTAATAAGAAATTATTAACCCTATGATGGCTATGACAAAACAAGTAAGCAACAGGATGGCTTGAATCATCTTAAGGTAATAAATTCCAAGTGTATTAGGAAAAAAGACGACTTTATGAACTTTTACACACTATTTCTTATTTTATGTTTTTCCATGGCCATGCCATGAAGAGTGATAGACTTGCTGAGTTCTTTAAGAGTTGTGAATTGGTTTCCTATGGATGATGGAGAGCCAAGAAATGGGACTCCAGGGTTGGGAGCAATGCCAAATGTTCAGCCCCCACCTCCACCCTCTGCGGCCCTCGGCCCCTGAGCTGTTGAAATGCCCTTGGTCATTAATTCTATAGCACCCAACCATAAATTCAACTCCTCCAACTTCTTCCCTGACACATGATGGAGACAATGTTGTCTCTAGGAAACCCATATCACATGTGTTTTATGTGTTCATGCGTGGGACGTGGCCTAAGTGAAGGCTAATAGCATAGTTCTTTCAATATTTTGACCAGACATATTTTTGAAAAATTGGACCTGAAGCCTATATAGCCAGCTGAGGTGAATTTACAGCCTTGCTTTAAGAACAAAACTCCCTCTGGCACCTGCTTCCTAAAGGCAAAACCAGAAAGGAAATGAACTCTTGCTTAAAGACAACCCACCTTATTTTATGGGTTATCAATTTTCTAGCTGGCACACAGTTCCCTAGCTACTACGAGTAACCCCCACCCTAACTCCCGCCCCAACCCCAAGCAAGTATTGAGCAGCAAAAAATACGAAGTCTGCACTCTAGCAAACAGCTCAGTTTCCTGAAGATGAGGCATAGGATCGGCTGCCTCAGTAAGGAAAGCCAAGGGAGCAGCAAAGACCCATGACGTGGGCTCGCCACACTGATGTCTTTGCCAATATGAGCATTAAAACCTTAGCCTGGATTCCATTTTACAACACAGGGTTACCGCATCTTGGGCTATGATGGAGAATTCATCTTCCCTGTCTTGGGGCGGCTCTGCCAGGTGAATAGTCCACAATGGAAAGCACTGATTTCCTTTTCACTGCCCCACTGACCCTGGGATGAAGCTTATCAACTCCTCAAAAATGAGAAAGAACTAAATAGGTTTTGTTTTTTTCCCCTCACTATTGATAAAGTCAGCCTTCTCAATGGGAACAGACTACAAGATAGGGGCCAATGGTTAACAGTAGGTAACCATTGTTATCTAGCCTGCTCTGTGCTAGAAAACAATGAACAGGTATGATTTTCTTAGTACACATACCAGAGTATTAAAATAAGTATGAGAAACTCTTTTAAAAAGAAAAGAACTGTGGTTACTAAAAAGCGAGTGAAAAGCTGGACAAATCTGACTTGATACATGATGAAGTCAGAATCAAATACTTAAAATTATATACTAGTTTTGTCAAATCTCAGTCTTTCTCCAAGCTTCATTTAGTTGTAAACATGAAGAATTTTCAGAAGAAATATGAATATTCAACTACATGTTTCAAAATCAGATATTTACACATCTACTTGGGGTAAACACCAGAGTTAGCATCACAGACACCTGAAGCACCTCTGGTCCAAATGGGAACATTAAGCTCCTCACACCGAAGAATGCAGTCCTTGCAAACTGTCATGATTTCAGTAAATGGAACCAGCCCTTTAGCAGATGGGCGACATACTTTGCAACTTGCTGATAGCCTAATAAAAGACACTGGCTTTTAAAAAATGAAGGACATGTACTTCTCAAATTTCAGTGCCCAAATGGATTTAGCAGAATAAAATTAAGAAGGCATACAACAGTTTGACAAAAATTAGGAACAGACTATGGAAATATGATAGTTCTAAACATTAACATCAAAATGATCATTTTACTTAAAAAAACTGGTTGTTTAAACCACAGGGAAAATATGCATTAATATAGTCAAAACCAGGGGTAGCATATTATGGAATTATAAATACTGATATAATAAAAACATGAAGTTCATTTCTTTTCAAAATATAATAAAAATCCCCTAAGACGGGCAGTCTCCTTTTATATCAGGTACCTTTCCTTTTGTATCAGTCAACCTCTGTGCTGCTTAAAATAAAATTTCTCCAGTTGATTGATGCAATAACCAAATTAAATACAGACCCATGGCTCAGATACAATAGGGGCTCAGCATTTCTGCTCACCTTTCCCGTTCTTCTGTCATTTTCTCCAGCTCCTCTTCTCTCAGGCCACCATGCTTCACAGGACCTTTCTGCTCAGCCTTCCCACCCTTATCATCTTTCTTCTTTCCAAATCTAGTTAAACATGAAAGAGAAGATGGTTGTTAACAATAATCATGTTCTTGCTGTGGTAAATTTAAGATAATTATAAGATAAACTCATTAAACCATAATTCTTTATTCTAAGTAATGCAAGATTATTTTTTTNAACATGAAAGAGAAGATGGTTGTTAACAATAATCATGTTCTTGCTGTGGTAAATTTAAGATAATTATAAGATAAACTCATTAAACCATAATTCTTTATTCTAAGTAATGCAAGATCATTTTGCATAAAATGGAAGTAAAATAAAATATTGAAAACAGAAAAATAATATAGTTACTGAATTCTTTTCCTTCCACCCTCCTTGTTCCACTCAGACACTGATTGTGCAGCAAGCACAGAATCATGTAATTAAAGTCTAAAAATTTCAAACCATTAATTCAGTAGAGATTAAAGAACTGAAAGGTTATCATTAATATATAAGTAAATACTGATCGACCTCCTAAACAGGCCTCCAGAGCTCCAAGTAGCATTGACATTTAAGGTTAAACTCATGGGATGATATAATGATGGTGCTGCAAAGGGCCTTACCAAACACCTACTTTAATATTCTCATTTTACAGATGAAGAACTGAAAGCTCTGAGAGACCCTGGGGCTTCACCAAGACCACCCAAGAAGTTCCGGATAGGGCTGGGATTAGAACTTGGGTCGCCTCCTCCACTGCACTCTTTCCTTTGCAGCACAGCCTCCTACAAAGCCGCAGGCTTCCTAAGTCAGCCCGGGCTAGTGTGCTCTGAGCACTCCTTGGTGCCCAGCACATTTGTTAACTGAGCACAGTGGCAATTATACCTTATTTTTTTCACCACCATTAGTGAGATATGACACATGCTGGATCATATGTTAGTTCCAATTTTACTTTTTGGAGGAACTTCCATACTGTTTTCAATAGTGACTATACCAATTTACATTCCCATGAACAGCCAACGGTGCACTAGGGTTCCCTTTAAAAGAACACTGTTTCCTCAGCATTTTGAGGAAAATAAAATTGCACATTTGAAATAAAAAAGCTATTAAATTATTAGCACAACACATTCTTAAATGACAGACATTTTCCCCAACAGCTATTTTCTTCGGAAGCCATCTCCCATGGTCCTGATATCAACACACATTAAAACACAAAAAGAAAGAAAGAAAAGACTTGGTGCTCTGCTGATAACCAGGGAAAAAAGTCACTCCAACTAAGGACATTTTTCAAATTACACATTCTCAGCCTGATTGCCACCACCCTCCCCGCCCAAATCCCCATCCCTGTCCCCCAACCTCCTTACATGAGGACCAGAATTATAAACTTGTAAGAAACTCTTTTCTTCTGAATTTCATGAAAACGGGTTATATTTGTTTTTTCTAGATTGTATTTGAATCCAAACCAGAGGTTGTTAGTCAAGTGGCAGCTCTAAGTATTGCATATGGAAGACATCACTGCTAATATCCATATTCTTGTTGTTATCAGAATATAGAGTGCATCCTGCTTTCCTCAGAGTGTCTCCCAGTCCGGACTCTTCTGCATATTTTTCAATTTATAATTCCAATGAACAAATCCTCTTTAATGAACTTTCTCTCTTTCCAATGCTATCTCTCTATAGGCTTCTATTTCTACTGCATTTTTGGGAGGATGTTGGTTGATCAAGTATCGGCTTCAACTCCATTCCCCCAGGCTTTTTTACCTTCTCTTTTTCCTGCCTCTCTTTCTGAATCTAATCTCTTTTCTCCATGAAGAAATAACCTGATATCATTTACAGACATAAATAGGGAAGAGAGAAAAAAAATACAGACAAAATATAAGAACATTAACTTTAAACTGATATAGTCAAGAACTCTCTTTAACCTACAAAGCAGGAAATATCTAAATAATGTGTGTTTTCATGAATACAATTCTTTAGTTTTCAGACCCATGCAGAAGAGTCTTAGAGATCAATATTATTACTCAAAATTTCTTTGTGTCAGAAATTAATACTTTAGTACCCTCAAAATGTCATCAAATATAGTAATATTTGGGCAAAAAAATTTATAAGAAATGAGGGTAGAATAATGCTTCAGGAAGTTGATAAGGGCAAAAATGTTGCCAAAAACTCTATAGATGAGGTTTGTTTTTTCTGCATGTTCTAAATATCTTTTCTGAATTTGGAAGTTTTTGATTTTCTGAGACAAAAGTGGTCTTGTTTTTGAAGGGCAAAACTAACCTATGCCCTAGTGTACCTTGATCTTTTTTACCACAACCAATAAAGTGTTTTTCCTTTCTAGAGCTAAAATATTTCACTTGTAGTTCAAGAATAGTTTACTATACTCCCATCAGAGTGGAACATGCTTGGTAAAGAAAAGGTTAGTTGTAAATAAATTCTGCAAAGCATTTTCTTCTTAGCAAGAATCATCAGTAATATTCAAATCAACCTATTCCACAAATATTACAAATGTTTTGAATTAAAGTTCATGATCATTTACTAAAGTTTCCAATAAGAAGGACAGAAATAACTGAGAAATTTATTTCATTAAACAGAGGGAACAGTCACAAATTATCTTATTTTATAAAGTTTGGGTAGGTTCAAGAACAGAATTATAAAACAATAATCTTTAAAAGGACTCCCAGATTGTTAAGATGAGGAAATTAAGTCCCAGAGAAGTTAACTGCATTTTACTTATTAACACATGGAATTCTTTAGTCTGGTTTTGCAGTCAGACAACTTAATTATCAGTAGTGGTTGTAGTGGTGGTGGAGGGAGTTGGAAGAAAATCATCAATTTGATGAATTTTACAAGACTTTTTTCTGCTTTTCAAAGCAGCCTTTTTGGGGGTCATTTCACAGCCATTCTCACCTTCACCGACACACAGAAAGAAGAGTTGGGGAGGTTTGAAATCACTGATTCATCTCCCCATTAGCTATTTTTGTAAGAAAAGTCATGAGGGCCCTAAATGGCTGAAATTACTGCTTTGCATTCTATGGTTTCAAATATCCACTGCATTCCAGGCCTCCCATTATCTATTACCTAAGAAATTTGAGACTTGGCCATTCTGGGCTAGGTGCCTTAAGGAAATTGCTTATAGGTCAACCTTGCTATATATAAAAGATACTTTCCTGAAGAATTCTGTGCCAACATATGGTTTTAATCAATAAAACCTTATGTTCCGTGTACCTGGGAAGCCTGTTTAAAGAATTTTATGATGGATCTTTTTGTAAAGTGGAAAAATCACCTTTCAACATAGCCTTTATGTAAATTTAGATTTTCATGAATTATACGTTTGCTTAAAACACCTGTCTCTGTTCGTTTCTATAGAGAGGTTATATGAAACAGCTTCATGGAAAACTAGCTTGCTTGCTTTCTTCTTTCCTTCACTCATTTGTTTCAAGACTATTTATTAGGCTTCTCTTCCTGTCATAGCACTTGGTGTAGGTTGGGACTTCATTGGGGTACAAAACCAAACACTACCCTCATGGAATTTACATTCTAACACAGGAAAAGTCTACCAAACAAGCATATATATCTATGAAATTGTAAGTTGTGAAAAGTGCTATGAAGGGTGTTAAGAGAGAGAACTAGGATATTGGTTTGCTAGGGAAGTGGCATTAAATACATTCACACTGCTGTGCAACCATCAATCACCATCCATCTCCAGAATATTTTAATCACCCCTGACTGCAATTTCATTTCCACTAAACAGTAACTCCCCACTTCCCCTTCTCCCAGCCCCTGGTAATCACTGTTTTACTTTGTCTGAATTTGACTATTCCAGGAACTTCATGTAAATAGAATCATATAATATTTGTCCTTTGGTGTTTGACTGACTTCACTTAGCTTAATGTCTTCGAGGTTCATCTATGTTGTAGCATGAATCAGAATTTCCTTCTTTTCAAAGCTGAATGACATTCCATTGAATGGACATACCATATTTGTTTATCCATTCGTCTGTGGATGGACATTTGGGTTGTGCCCACCTTTTTTCTACTGTGGATAATGCTGCTATGAACACTGGTTCAGAGGAACAAAATTCTTGATAAGGGAAGAGGAAAGATATACAGAACCTCTGGAGAGATTGGCTGTAAGATAGGAGGAGATTCGGAAAAAGCAGCAGCTAAGAGAGGAAACTAGTTTGTTTATAGAGTTGACAAAGGGGAAGTGAAGGTGTTCCCAGGTAATTAATTTATTAGATAACATGATACAACATGTGTAGATAAGTGGTTTCTATCAATAAAATGAGATTTCTTGGTATAAAATAAGAAATTAAAGGAAGTAGAATACACAAGGTGGAAAAGAACCTCAGAAGGGGTTACAGGAAAATACCCCAAACAGACCTTACTTATGTTGTGATTTTGCCTTGCTAGGGAGTCCCTGAGCAGCCACCTGAGGAAGTAGAATTCAGCAACGGTTGATTCATTCACTCAATCATTCACCAAACAGCCATTACACATCACATGGTTTATGTACAGAGAATTTAACCATTAACATCGACTGTGGGGTACGTATCTAACTTAACAAAACAAGCCCCTAGCACCCTATCATTTTCTATACCATAAAGATTTTACAATTCTTGGTAGTTAGTCCCTAATTTCTCAGCAAATATGTTCTTCTCTTTCTGTTTCTTTCCTTGAGTTTTCTAGATAATGATTATGTTCAAATCCTTTGCAGATTCCCACACACACTGACAAATTATCTGAATTCACAATATATATAGCTCTATCTCTGGCTTTTTCCATGGCTAGTCTCTCATTTAATTCACTTCTTACTTCTGCTAAGTACTGTCTACAACCTTCCTCCTAGATCCCACTGGGCTGTTTACGCAGCTATTAGCATCCACTCTTCTTCCATTTAGAACACACACTGTATAAAAGCAATCATGAGCAATGGCTTAAGAGGACTCAAAAGTCCAGCAAGCCCTGGCTGTCATGGCTCAGTGGTTGAGTGTCATCCCATGAACCAGGAGGTCATGGTTCGATTCTGGTCAGGGCACATGTCCGGGTTTCGGGCTGGATCCCCAGTAGG